ACACACACACACACACACACACACACACACACACACACACACACACACACACACACACACACACACACACACACACACACACACACACACACACACACACACACACACACACACACACGCACACACACACACTTCTCTCTCTTGCCCACGCTCCCGCCCTCTCTTTCACTCTCTTCCACTTCCCCCTTCTCACTTTCTGTTGGACACCTATGCTGCGATCCAATATTGCTACTAGAGTCGTTCATATCCTGCAGCCTGCAATATAATTATACGCTAAAAGCATTTGCACCACAGCTAAAGCATTTTTACACTGACTGCGTGAAAAGCTTTTCACCGAGGCTTTCGCGCCCATAAAAAAAGCTACGGGGCTGGTGTCGTACAGCTCGACTCGTCTGCTGAACTCGTGGCATGCAGCAAGCGGACTACTGCGCTAGAATTCACAAATCCTTTACGCAAATAGGAGTGGATCTGTTGCCATGCGCAGCCCCCCACTAACGTGAATCCAGGGGGCCCGTAGTCAGACACATCATAACAACTACATGACTGCTATTCGCGTTTATAGAATAAGATGTTAATGATCGAATTATCGCGTTAGTATAGGGTTATATACACATTAATATCAAATTATATACGTTAATATAGGATGTTACGCGTTAGCACGGCATGATATACGTTAATATAGCATTGTAACCTTGTGCTTATTCTGTCAGGGTATGGGAACGAGAGCGGTCGTTGGGTAAGGAGTAACAGTTGCGTACGACGCAAAGCAAACACGAACTAGCGACGTAACGAACCACAGACGGTTGTATTATTAGCCATAGCGAGTGCGACAAGATACAACGGGTTGCGTACAAAAAGCAAGGGGAGGACGATGGAGCGTAGGTAGAGGTCGAACGAGAGAGGGGAGTTCTCCCGCTCCCGGGCTCGCTATATATCCGCGGTTCTTGGGCCCGACATCCGCGCCTCGCGTCGTCACCTCTCCGGGCTTCGCCGGAGCTCCCGCGCTACGCAGGACGCGTCGTACGTCGACTGCGGGTTATGATATGCCAGCACCGTGTATCCCGCACTCAGCTCTCTGCCTCCCAGTGGCATTAATTACCTTATTGCTTCATTATTACCCCCATTCGGTGCATCACAAGCACCGAGTCTAGTAATTGTCCCCTCGTGCGTCGCTTGCTGGTTCATCGCCCGCGCCACTCGCACAGCGTCACGCCTAATTAATAAATAATTAATCATCATGAGGCGAATATAATATACTATAATATAATAATCATAATATACTAATTAATAGGCATGAGCGCAGCGGCGCTACATTATTATTGTTATTATTATTATTATTATTATTATTATTATTATTATTGTTGTTGTTGTTGTTGTTGTTGTTGTTGTTGTTGTTGTTGTTGTTGTTGTTGTTGTTGTTGTTGTTACAAACTGTACAGGTGGGGGTCGCGCTGCGCAAGTTTTGCATCTTTGACCTTCGATGTTATGATTAAGTAAAAGAGAGTAGCGATGCCGCGTTGATGTATTTCTGAGTTGCTCTCAGTTTTTGCGCGAAATAGGGAGTTTGGTGAAGCTGTAACGACGCGGGGGGGGCTAATAAACAGTGGAACTAACTAACAGGATTGTAACCCGATTCTAAGTAACTTGATGTTAGCAGCTGAGTGAGAGAACCTAACACACAGCGCACGCGCGAGCGCACACACACACACGCACACACAGACGCACACATACACACACGCGCGCACACACACACGCACGCACGCACGCACGCACGCACGCACGCACACACACACATATATATATTATTGGATATATATATATATGCGATATGGATTATACGATATATATATATATATACATAAATATATGCGTACGCTCTGTGTCGTGATGTTAATCAGTCATTCCTTCGTTCACAGATATCGACCTGCGGAGCAGCTCCCTACAACTACTTCGATCGTGATGTAGAAGATGGAAAATACGGCAACGCCCTAGACATCCTGCCCGACTACAACCCGTACTTGTACAATGACGACAGCAAGGACACCAACGTTGACGATGTCGTGGAAGACGAAGGCAAGGACGACAACCAAGGATATCCGCTGAACTACTACACGAATGAAGAGGAGAAGGAAGATACAGATGTGCAGCCCTACTACGAAGAGATGGGAAAGAAAGAGGGTTGGGAGTCCTACAAAGATGAGCTGAAGAATGAGGATGAAGAGGAAGATGGGGAGGTCGGACAATATTTCGGGGATGAGGATGAGGAGGATGAAGATGAGGAGTTGTATGGAGATGAGCAGCAGGAGGATGAGGAAGACGGAGAGGTTGGACAATATTTCGGAGATGAGGATGAGGAGGATGAAGATGAAGAAGGATTATACGGGGATGAGGAAGAGGAAGATGAGAATGAAGAAGGATTATACGGGGATGAGGAAGAGGAAGATGAAGATGAAGATGAAGAAGGACTATACGGAGATGAGGATGAAGATGAAGAAGGATTATACGGGGATGAGGAAGAGGAAGATGAGGATGAAGAAGAATTATACGGGGATGAGGATGAGGATGAAGAGATTGATGATGGGGAATTGTTTGGAGACGAAGATGAGGAGGATGAGGAGGAAGGACCTTTTGACGAGAATGAAGAGGAAGAGGACGAGGAGACGGATGAGGACGAACAACCATACGAGGAGGAGGATGATGAGACGGATGAAGACGAACAACCGTACGAAGAGGAGGATGAGGAGCAGTATGAGGAGAACGAAGAGGAACCCGTATATGACGGTGAAGAGAATGAGGAGGATGACGAGGAGAAGCCATCCTGGGATGAGAACGAGGACGAAGAGGAAGATGAGAATGAGGAGGTTGACTACAGCAATATCTACCAGCCACAGATCAACGACGAGTCCCTAGCGTACGCGGGAGAGCAGATCAACGGCGGAGACGTGACCACTTACTAAGTAAAGCCACCGACGCCAAGAGACTTTAATCTGGCGATTTGCCAGCAAATTCGTGTATTTTTTGTTTTTATGTGAGTCTAGTACGGCTGGCGAGTGCGTGCACGTGACTCGACTGTCGGTCCCTGTGATGTTGTCACGTGTGCAGCCCGTAAGAAGCACGTGACAGCGAAATGACGTAGGCGCTCAGTCCCCTACGAACATATGCAGTTTATTAAACTACACAAGATTTTATGTAAAGCCGTAATAAAAACAGTCAATATATTAGAGTCAATGTATAGAAATAAATTTTTTATTAGGAATTATTTCGGTATATAGAGATATTTTTGATATTCGAGACCGGACACATTTAATACAGTCTAGGGTTAGTCAGAAAACTGATTTTCGCTAATACAATCTCACATTGGAATTAGAGGTTCTCAAATAAAACCACTGTTTGCATCATATCTGTTGTCGTTCACGTTTTATATCACTTGTTTGAAACCCTCAATCCATCATTTGCGATTCACGTGCGATTCTGAAAGGATTGCTTTAACAATCAATCGTTTTTATTAAAAATAAACAGAAATATGCTTACGATAATATTTTTTAGAGGGAGGCGTCGTCTAAAGTCTTTTCAATGATGTTTTATTACCTAGTTTTACGGGTTATACGGCTTTAAATTATGTATTTTATACTCTCTCTCTAGGGTACTGTGTTTTTGGCAATAGGGATGTTTGGAATAGCTCTAGGTGTTGATTGATATGATGGGGCACGTAGCGAGGGCAGGTGCAGTGAGGAAAATCAACAAGCATGACAAGTCACGTCATATCATCTGTTATAAACTACGTGACCTTCAGCGCTGCGTGGCACCAAGGCCGTCACCCAGGGCAAGGCGGCGGCCATGTCAGCTTGCTTAATTTGTTTATCTCATCGCTTGCTCGCGTGACCATGACAGCATTTCTGACGTCATCATGGCAGTAGGTCAGTCCCTGTCGTAGTTGAGAATTGATAATAGGGCAGGGCGTGTGGGTGTGGTGTGATACAGGTGTGGGTGTGGTGGGGTACAGGTGTGGGTGGGGTGGGATACAGGTGTGGGTGTGGTGGGGTACAGGTGGGGGTGTGGTGGGGTACAGGTGTGGGCTGCTGGTGGGGTACAGGTGTGGGTGTGCGTGGGGTACAGGTCGTCTGGGTGTGGGGATACAGGTTGTGGGCTGCTGGGTCGGGTACAGGTAGTGGTGGGTGAGTGGGTACAGATGGTGGGTGTGGTGGGAGTTACAGGTGTGGCGGTGTGGTGGGGTACAGTTGTAGGCCGGTGCTGGGTGGGGTAAGGTGTGGGTGCTGGTGGGGAATACACAGGTGTGGGTGTGTGTGGGATACAGGTGTCGGGTGTAGGTGGGGTACGGATCGGGTGTGTGGGTCCTGGGTGTGTGGGGTACAGGTGTGGGTGTGGTGCGGGTACAGGTGTGGGATGTGGTGGGGTACAGCAGTCGTGGTGTGTTGGCGGATATCAGGTGTGTGGTTCTATTGTACGCTGTCGCTACACTCATCCCCCCCCTCTCACTCTCTCTCTCTCTCTCTCTCTCTCTCTCTCTCTCTCTCTCTCTCTCTCTCTCTCTCTCTCTCTCTCTCTCTCTCTCTCTCTCTCTCTCTCTCTCTCTCTCTCTCTCTCTCTCTCTCTCTACCTCTCTCAGCCCATTTCTCCACAATAGTAACATAATCACAGCGATGTAATAGGATTAGACTAAAATGCAGTTCTCGCTGGCGTACACACAAACATCTACAGTGGCGCCATCTCTCCGATGACAGAAATGCAAAACATTCCATCATTCTAGCTGCGGTGAAATTGCGAGGGTTCGGTTACGAGTTTGCCTGCAGGTGTCTGCATGCGTCTCATCGAGGCAATGATCCACGCAGCATGCAGCGGCGGGGAAAGGAAAGAAGTGGAGAGTGGATTAGCTACCACGTCACGAGTCGTCTAACCTAGGGTCCCTATAGTCTAACCTGAACACCGGCGACATCTGGTGTTGGACAGACGGCCCTCTGCGTGTAATCCATGTGCAGGACATGCCGTTGTATGTGAATGATGGTCAAAGACACAGCGATCTGGATCAGCGTAGCAAGTTTCCCTAACATCGGGGATTAGATGGAGAGCGTAGCAACTGCAGAGTATATATTATAGTAACTATAATAAATATCGTATATATATATATAGAGAGAGAGACAGCGAGAGAGAGAGAGAGAGAGAGATAGTGAGAGTATAGCGTCTCCTTATCAGAGAAACTATATCACAGGTGTATGATGACTAATGATCAGCAATGATGGGGATAGATCGGCATATCGCATGTCAAGGTCATGTCAAAGATCATGTCAGGGGCCATGTCAGGGTTCGTGTTAGTGGTCATGGCAGGGGTCATGTCAGTGGTCATGTCAGGGGTCATGTCAGTGGTCATGTCAGGGGTCATGTCAAGGGCCATGACAGGAGTCATGGCAGGGGTCATGTCAGTGGTCGTGTCAGATGTCATGTCAGAGGTCCTGCTAGAGGTCATGGCAGGAGTCATGGCAGTGGGCATGTCAGGGGTCATGTCAGGGTTCGTGTTAAGGGTCATGACAGGGGTCATGCTATGTGAGCATCCGTGTGTATAGATATTGATGCGCTCGGCTGTTGTTAAGATGGCGACGTCATGGCCTACATTCGTACATACGCAATCGACCTGCGTACGTCATCATAGCAGCTGAAACAAACTAAGAATTTCTGCGCCATATAAAAAAGGGGGTAGGGTTAAGGGAGAGAGACGTATATACAGAAAAGGGGTGGGTGTAAAGAGCGAAAACGAGGGACGAAAGAGGAGAGACCAACACAAAGACAGAGAGCGAGAGAGATGAAAGAGGAGGAGAGTGAAAGAGAGCGAGCGACGAAGAAATGGAAAGTGAGTGAGATGGGAAGAAAACAAGCGAGAACAGGAGGAAACGATTTCCAGTAAAAACACAACAAAACAAGTACAGCATTGTACTTGATGCACATAATGATTACTAGTCCCCAGGTACAGTTACACTAACAAGATCTGTAGTTACTCCAGCATCAAAATCACTAGCAGCTGCAGCAGCAGTAGTAGTGTCTAGTAGTAGTAGTAGTAGTAGTAGTAGGTAGTAGTGAGTAGTAGTAGCTAGTAGTGATTAGTTAGGTAACCAGCAGCAGTAGTAGCAGGCTTAGTAGAGTTCAGTAGTAGTAGTAGTAGTAGTATAGCGAGGTATAGTATGTAGTAGAGGGCTAGTACAGTAGGTGCATAGTCCAGTAGCTAGTAGTAGTAGTATGTAGTACGTAGTATAGTAGTAAGTAGTAGTAGTAGTGAGTCCAGGTAGTAGTAGTAGTAGTACGTAGTAGTAGTAGTAGTGCAGTAGTAGTAGTAGTATAGTAGTAGTAGTAGTAGTAATATAGTAGTATAGCACACCAGCCAGCAGAAGCCAGCAGCAATAGCAGGCACCAACGTTAACAGCAAAGCAGCAACAAGCACAGCCAACGGGCAGTTACTTTGCGTGATCTTTGCTGTGTGCAGAGCGGTTACTGCACCGTTCCTAATTCATGGACGCGGCCATGCTCTTTGCCCACAAATTACCGATGTTGCTCCGCCAACACGCGATGAAGCTGCTCTTATTCGAACGTTTTTTCTAAAGCGCCGCGTTGAGTGAACAGCAGTGAGATGAAGGGGGAATACTACAGTGATGTTCAGAGCATGCGGAGGGAAAGAGGGCAAGAGAATGGAATATATATATATAATATATATATTATATATTAGCGAGAGAAAGAGATAGAGAGATGGAAAGAGAGAGAGATAATATAGAGAGAGTAAAGAAAACGAGACAGAGAGAGAAATAGCAAAAAAAAACAGCAAAGAGAGCCAAAGTGGGGAGGGGACTGTGAGAGGGGACAGAGAAAGCATGAGAGAACAAGAGAGAGAGAGAGAGAGAGAGAGAGAGAGAGATCGAGATATTGAGAAAGAAAGAGAGAGAGAGGGTGAGGGGGGAGTGTCATCGAGAGAAGGCCAGTCCGGCGTAGATGACTGCTCAATCACACGCATCATGACACAAGCAGTCCGTGGAAACCACGTCATTACCAACAACTTGATATGCGAGGCAATTCATGCGTACTCACTGCGCCAGCCTTACCCTCACGATATATCATTAAATACCCGAGAATCGACCTATCCTCATTATATACACAAGAATGACTCTCTTTCTCTCTCTCTCTCTCTCTCTCTCTCT